GTTTTGCTTCTCTAGAGAACCCGGCCTAAGACAGTGTGTCTGACCCAAGCTATGGTATTTTCAATTACCTCATATGCATGCAAAAGCTGGACAATTAATAAGGAAGACCAAAGAATAATTGATGCCTTTGAATTATGGTGTTGGTGAAGAATATTGAATATACCATGGACTACCAAAAGAACAAACAAATGTGTCTTGGAAGAAGTATAGCTAGAATGCTCCTTAGAAGCAAGGATGGCGAGACTTCATTTCAAATACTTTGGACATGTTACCAGCAGGGATCAGTCCCTGGAGAAGGACATCCTGCTTGGTAAAATGGAGGGTCAGTGAAAAAGAGAAAGACCTCAAAGAGATGGACTGACACAGTGGCTGCAACAATGGGCTCAAGTATAGCAAAGATTATGAGGATGGTGCAGGACCAAGCAGTGTTTCATTCTGTTTTACACAGAGTCGCTATGAGTCAGAACCAACTCTACAGCACCTAACAACATCTCATTTTACCACATATATCGATTCATGCAACCACCATTGCAATCAACTTACAGAACTATTTTCTTCACCACACAGATTTCCCTCGTAGTACTGTTTCATATAACACCCACCCATCCCCATTCCTGCAATCACTAATCTGTTTTCCATTTTATAATTTTGTCATTTTGAGGATGTTATATAAATGGTAAGGGGTCCTGGTGGCACAGTGGTTAAAGTGTTCAGCTGCTAACAAAAAGGTCAGCGGTTCAAACCCACCAGCCGATCCTTGGGAGAAAGATGTGACAGTCTGTTTCTGTAAAGATATATAGCCTTGGAAACTCTACAGGGCAGTTCTACTCTGTCCCATAGGGTCACTATGAGTCAGAATCAGTGGATTTGGGCTTCGGATATATAAATGGTGGCACAAGTGGTTAAGTGTTTGGCTGTTAACTGATAGGTTGGTGGTTTGAACCCACTAGCTGCCCCAGAGGAGAAAGATATGGCAGTCTGCTTCCATAAAGATTAAACCAACCAAAAACCCATTGCTGCCAGGTCAGTTCCAACTCATAGTGACCCTAGAGGACAGAGTAGGACTGCTCCATAGAGTTTCCAAGGAGCAGCTGGTAGATATGAACTGTCAACCTTTTGGTTAGCAGCCAGTCTCT